AAGAAGAACGGCAACAACAACAACAACAACAACAACAGAAAAAGAAGATGGAGATGACGGCGATGGTGAGGATTAGCAAGGCGCAGTGAACAAGATATATGGTGGTGCATCTACTTTTGCTTCGAAAAGAAGCACGAGGGCAGCACAGCATAACCGAAGTCTACTCTCTAAGGTTGGGGAGTCACAAGCAAAGGTTACTCAGGTTGGAGAGCTGCATGCTCGGCAACCAAAATCTCACGCAGACCAGAGAGCACTTATTACAGCTGAATAGATGAACCCTTTGAATTTTATTTTTTTTTGCAGAAGCATACCAGTTACAGAAGGGCGGGGAGGAGAAGGGCTTGGCCTGGGGAAAAGAGAGAGAGAGAAGAGAGGGAGACACTCCAAATTCACCTTTTGTATTTCTTCCCTGAGCCACAAGGGCAAGGAGAGTTTCTACTAGGCGGCCCTTTCGCAAAATTCCTAGTGGCTTCAGGTGACCATCTTCCTCCCATCAGTTCTTCCATCTGCAGAAACAGCATATTATGAAATACTCATCAGAAAAAGTCATAAAAGATAGTGAATGGTCTCTGTTAGAACATTACAAAGAAAAAGGAAATTAAAAAAATAGACAAGAAACAGGAATCACCTCTCAGACTGGAAAACAGGTTCAAAACCAACCAAGGTATTTCCCATGAATAAGAAGAAACTGCAAGGAATATGAGCGAGACCGATATACAGAAAACCACATTGCAAAATCATGCAGAAGTCCAGATAGTCATGTACAAGCAGAGAGCTCAAATGCACGAAGATTCCATCCAAGTAAGAGCAATACAATGAAGTAATGAGCCACTGTTCAAGCCCTCAGGCCACACCAACGCAGTATTCAGTGTCACTCCTCTCTGCCTGGCGTCCAGTGCCCAGCCTACTCTACTTGCCTACCTAGCCTATCTACAACAGGCTCACTGCAACTTTGAAGACCAATGTACATGTCGTCAACACCAATGCCGACCTCCCACATACGCCAGGTACGTATCCTCGTCTCCCCTCATCACCCCCTGACACCCATTTCTGCGCCTCCTCCCGAAGACCCCCTGTCGCCCTGCTCTGCCTCACCCTGCAGCTCGGCTATGGCTGCTAGCGCCCCGCTGCCCTGCAGCGCCCTCGCCTCTCGGCGCCCGCGTCCCTCGGCCAATGCTACCGCAGGCAGATGATTGCTTGCTAGCGCAGCAGTGTGCCCGCAATGCCCTCATTGGCCAGTATGCCCCTTGCTGGCTGGCCTGCTTCCTATATGGAAGTGGCAGCCGCTGCTGGACTCCCTGGGTCTGACCGTGGAAGTCTCCAGTAGCTTCTGGTCGGGCCCCAGTGTCTGCGCCCAGGCCTGGCTTGACAGTTCAGGGCCTGGTCCCTTTTCAGTTGGGCACACCCAGAATTTCCCAGGCTCCGAATGCTTGCTGCATTTGCACTGGCCCACCGGGTAGATACAATGACAATGCTGCTTTCTTGTTGGCCCGTGGCCACTTCGTGATGTGTCGGCCTCACAGTGTGTGCCCGAGGCACAACTACCCGTGCCCTGGGCTCAACTGCCTGGCGCAGCTGCTCCTTCTGAAAGAGCCCAGGGTAAGGCTCAGCTTGCACTTCAACCAGCTGTCGTGCAGCAACTGTCTGAAACCCGCATTGGAAAATGCTGAGATAAGGGCCTCTTGTGATTATTCAGGCCCGCCTTCACTTAGGGCGGGCATGAGGCTTGCTGGCGGGCCACAGTCAAAACATATGCATGTTGTCTAAGGGCCCCCTGAGGACACATTCCTCACAAAACGCCAAAACAAGTTAAACCACCAGTAATTTCCCAAGTCATGGCTTGCATGCTGCCAGCCATTGCTACAGTGCGGCGACGTTTCCACTTCAATGAATTTATGCCAGCGCCCCAGGCCCATTCATCCCAGCACATAACAGCACGCATGCTCCTTGACTTTCCGAAGTACTGGTGGATTAAACCATTTCGTTTTCTGA